TACTAGCAAGATATAGCTCTTCTCCTACAAAGAAACATTGGAATGAGATTAAGCATATTTTGCGATATTTAAAGGGAACTCTTGATATGGGTTTGTTTTATGCTAACAAAGGTAGTGCAGAATCAAATCTAATTGGTTATGCAGATGCAAGTTATTTATCTGATCCCCATAAAGCTCGATCTCAAATCGGGTACGTGTTTATATGTGGAGGTACTGTCATATTATGGCGCTCCACAAAGCAATCTATTGTTGCTACTTATTCAAATCATGTTGAGATAATAACTATTCATGAAGCAAGTAGGGAATGCGTAGGGTTGAGATCAATGATTCATTTTATTCAAGAAAAATGTGGTTTGGAATGTGATAAAAGATCCACAATTTTATACGAAGACAATGTTGCATGCATAGCCCATTTGAAGGGAGGATTTATAAAAGGAGATAGAACAAAGCACTTTTCACCAAAATTATTCTACACACACGATCTTCAGAAAAATGGCAACATTGATGTGTAACAAATCCGTTCAAGTGACAATCCGACAGATTTATTCACTAAATCTTTAACAACTTCAACTTTTGAGAAGATGGTATACAAGATTGGAATGCGTAGACTCAAATATTTGAAACAAGGTTTTCATTAGGGAGAGTAAAATACGCGATGTACTCTCTTTCTCCTTACTAAGGTTTTTTACCACATGGTTTTCCTTATAAGGTTTTTAATGAGGCAACTAGCAATGCGTATTACTAAATATATGTACTCTTTTTCCTTCACTAGGATTTTTTTCCCACGGGGTTTTTTCTAGTAAGGTTTTAATGAGGCACATTATCTTTTAATGAACATCCAAGGGGGAGTGTTATAAATATATTACATTATGGATGTTCATTTAGTACTCCGTTGAAATAAGCTTCCTGAAGAAGTTTATCCATATGAGACTTCGCCGTAAATATGTTTATCTATTTAGTACTCTATTGGAAATAAGCCTCCTGAAGAAGCTTATCATTTTGGTACTCCGTTATGGATAAATATTACCCCCGGTAGAAGATTATCTATATTTGGTACAGTAGCAGCTTACAAGCAACTTACAAGCAGCTTACAAGCAACTTACAAGCAACTTACACAGCAGCTTGCAGTAGCAGCTTACAAGCAGCTTGCAATAGCAGCTCAGCTTACAAGCAACTTACACAACAACTTGCAGTAGCAGCTTACACGCAACTTACACAGCAGCTTACAAGCAGCTTACACAACAACTTCTTTTCTTCTATAAATAGAGGAGTTTTCAGTTCATTATGTACAGAAGTTTGAAGTTTGAATAATATATCAGTTTCTCTCTATACTTGTCTTTACTTTACAGTCTTTATTTTATAACAAGATTAAAATTCTTGCACAACTTATATAATATTTGGTTGGTATTTTGATCTCCTTATAAAATATTGCACAGCTTGTATGTGTACGAGTCAAAAATTATCTCTAATATGATTAAGTCTCATTAGCGAGTCATTCACATGCCGCCATGTGTCATCAATGCAAATCTAATGGAGAACTGTCAGTGTCAAAGTGGCTCTAGAAACAATGAAAGTTGTTAATGAAAAATTGGCAAGGATTAAGGTCGAAGAGTCATCAAAGATCAACGTCGAGGTCGAACATCCTTGACAGAGTTATAACGGCTAGTTTCAAGATAGGACACTAAAGATGATATTCTAGTGAATATTCTCTGTACTTGTACTATTAGGGTTTCTAGGAATATATTCCCTATAAATAAAAAGAAACACAAAGATAGGGGACATGAGATATTCATATGTAAAAAAACACATTGACTTTATAGAGAGAATCTGGTCCTATTGCAAACATACAAAAACAACATTTTTACTAAGATTCTTGTCTATCATTTCTACCGGATCCAAGAACAACTTAAGTGTTCAAAGGCTTATCAATCATTCATCATTGTCAGAAATAATATCCATTGATCTCATCCCTTTTCGGGTGACTCACACGTTTTATTTGCTTAAATGTCATTTATTGCCATTTATTACTATTTAATGTCATATTCCATCTTTTTGCATCATTGAATACTGTTATTATTGCTTATATTCATTGCCATCCAGACAAATACACTAGTTATTTGTCACAACACCGATAGCTTTATCTTTAGGATATTATTTTTAACTAAGATTATTTATATAAAATCAAACTGGTTGAACGGAGATCTATATTTTTGGTCAAATAGTTTGGCGTAATTTGTGGGGATTTCTTAGTTAATTTTGTAGCTTCCTTTAGATCTACAGCTAACGTGAGTCATTAACCTCAGAAACCCTAAGATCGTTCTCTTTCTTTGCACGTACAAAAACCTACATGACAGGTAACCAAGGAGAGAGGACAGAAGTAACAAGCGATTTCTCTAGGTACCTCATGAACGCTATCAACAAGAGCTATGAAATATTAGGCGAGGACGTGACGCCCACTGCCTTCCCCAGGCACGGGAGGTTGCATCCCTTTCATTGTAGCATAACAAAATCAAATGAAAAAGGGGCCTCCACGTCCATGGAATAAGGGACGCCACCGACCGTGAAAAAGCCCCTCAAAGCATGGTTGGCTGATACGCTAGTAAGTTTGCTCAGCAAGCCCACTCCATGAATGACTACAAATACTGCAAGAACCTACACAGTACAACGAGCAGACGAACACAGCGACTTACCAGACCTTCTAACACGAGGTATAACTCATAATGTTACTAACAATGCAGGTGACATCGCCCTCGCCATTGTTCTAAAGAGGATGGAAGAAATAGAGAATGAAAATAAATCACTAAGAGATCAAATGAAAGAGAACCAAGAACGAATCGATAAGATATCAGGCGCCCCTAAGCTATTGCCAAAGAGGAACGCCGGCAGGTTTGTAGAGCAGTCGTACAATGAAGAAGCAGCCCCACATCCATACCAAAGACCTTCAAAATGCCATTGTATCTCAGAATATACGACAGAATGACTGATCCCGAAGACCACGTGACTCATTATGTCACCACCGTAAAAGGCAATGACCTCACCAAGGAACAAGTGTCTTCGAAGAAATTTGGCGAAACTCTTACGGGAGGGGTATTAACATGGTACTCACAGCTACCATCCCACTCCATAAAAACCTTCGAGGAAATGGCCGAAGTTCGTAACGGCGCATGTCGGTGCCAGGAAAGCCGAGATAAGAGTAAATGATATATTCACCATCAAGCTGTCCTTAGGAGAGGGACTGAGGGAATTTCTTACCCGATTCAACTAGGTAAGGATGCCCCTACCAAACGTGTCCAAGGGGATGGCGGTCGTGGCTTTTCAAAATGGGTTGAGTAGAATGGTTCAAGAGTGACTAGGAAATTGTTGAACCGATTGATGAAATATCCTCCAACCACTTGGGACGAGATCCATAGCACTTACTGTGCCGAAGTCCGGGCAGATGGGGAGGACCTCAACAGACCAACTCATCGGCTCATCTCGGTACAAGCCGAGTCCAGGAAAGAACGAAGAGACAACATCAGGAGATATCGCCCGGTCTCATGACCCAACAGGGAATGACACCATCCATACATTAGAGCCCCCGCCCCACCTTCTCTGCCATGAGGAAGGCCCATCCAGGCCGAGAACGGGGACTCACCGGAATGAGAGAAGTATGCCCCCTTATTGTCTGCTCACAATTTTTGTGTATCACCTACATAAATAGTTTATGCCCTGGAGAAACTCGAAACGAAAGTGAAGTGGCCGCCAAAGATGAGGTCCGATCCGAGCACCAGAAAATTGGTCGCCTTATGCGAGTTCCACCAAAAGCGTGGACACAAAACAAAAGATTGCATCGCCCTCAGGCAAAAATTTGTAAACATGTTGCGGCAGGGACACCTCAAAGAGTTGTTGAGCGACAAGGGGAGAAATAACTTCGCCAGAGGACGTGAACACCAAGGCCTGTTGAAGCCGCCATCACTAACTCGTACTGTCAACATGATCATCAGCGGTAGCGACGATGCCTCCATCAACAACGTTAAATTCACCACTACTCACAAACTCAAACAAACTATCACCCGCGAACGGTATGACGGACTCAAAGAAAGTATATCTTCGATGAGTCAGATGCCGACGGTTTGACTTTCCCTCATAATGATGCTCTAGTCATTACTTTGCGCATTTTAGATTCTAATGTCAAACATATCATAGTAGACAGTGGAAGTGGAACGTGTATTATCCATCACCGAGTCCTTGCCCAGATGAGACTCGAGGACAACATAGTGTCACACTGCATCACACTAATCGATTTTAATAATGTAATTGAATGGACATCGGTAGAAATTACACTTCTCGTCTTGGTCGGTGGCGTAACGCTAGAGACGACATTCCACATCTTGAACCAAGCCACCGTCTACAATGTTATAATAGGACGACCATGGATACATCCAATGAGAGACATCCCCTCTAGCCTATACCAAGTAATCGAATTTCCAACACCTTGGGGGATATTTATCATACGTTGAGAACAACGCATGTCCCGGGAGTGCTACCGCATCGCCTTAGACATCAAGACAACCCAACAGAAAAAAGACAAGGAAAAAGAGGCATAACAATCAACAGGGGCAATGTTGATACAAGAAGGAGCCATGGACGTCATTATGGATCCTGAAATGGCCGAAGCCGCAGACTCGACTGTAGAGGACCTCGACCCCATTTAATTAGACCCCAGCGATTATAGAAAAAAGGCCTACATCGGCTGCAAACTTCGAGAACCAGGTAAATGTAGTCAATTCTTAATAACTATTGCAGATTTATTTGCCTTCTGCCATGCAGATATGGCGGGCATCCCTTAGGGGATTTCCATACACAAATTAAACGTCGACCCGTTCTACCCCCCGGTAAGGCAGGTCAGACGTAAGTTCAATCCAGCTATCAACGATGTCGTCCACAAGGAGGTGGAGAAACTATTAGAAAATGGCTCTATCAGGGAGTCGAAGTACCCCAAATAGATCGCCAACGTAGTTATGGTAAAAAAGAAAAATGGGAAATGGCGGATATGCGTAGATTTCACGGACTTGAACAAAGCTTGCCCGAAGAATTCGTTCCCGTTACCACATATCGACCAACTCATCGACGCAACGGCCGGGCACGAGTTGTTGAGTTTTTTAGATGCGTACTCAGGCTATAACCAGATACTTATGGAAGAAGAGGACCAAGATAAAACCACATTTATCACTTACCGAGGAACATATTGCTATAGGGTCATGCCATTTGGGCTGAAGAATGCAGGGGCTACATATCAAAGATTGGTCACGAAAATGTTTAAAGATCATCTCAGAAAGACCATGGAAGTATATATCGACGACATGCTGGTCAAATCCGTAAAGGCAGAGGACTATATCAACCATTTAAAGGAAGCTTTCGACATACTAAAACTGTGCGAAATGAAACTAAACCCGGAAAAATGCATGTTTGGCGCAACCTATGGGAAATTATTGGGCTTCTTAGTATCACAACGGGGAATTGAGGTCAAACCAGACCAAATCAAAGCCATCGAAGGGATACCGGAGCTCTTAACTACCAAGAGGCAAGTCCAAAGGTTCACTGGTCGAATCATCGCCCTATCGAGGTTCATCTCGTGGTCGTGTGACAGATGCCACAAATTTTTCGGCGTACTCAAAAAGGACAATGACCTCGAGTGGACACCCGAGTGCGTACAAGCTCTATGAGAACTGAAGGCGTATCTTTCAGCACCACCTCTGCTCTCAAAGTCCAAACCCGGGGAACATCTCCTCGTCTACCTGGCCGTCTCCGAAGCAGCAGTAAGTGCAGTCCTGATTCGAGAAACTAAAGGTACGCAATCTCCCATTTATTACATTAGCAAAACCCTCGTCGATGCCGATATGAGGTACCCGCACCTCGAGAATCTAGCCCTGGCACTAGTCATAGATTCACGAAAGCTTAGACCCTATTTCCAGTGCCACCCTATCTCGAACGTTACCACCTTTTTACCTAAGAGGTATCTTACATAAACCCTAGCTATCAGGAAGGCTGGCCAAGTGGGCCATCGAGCTAAGCGAGCACAATATCACGTATCAGTCGCGAATGGCGATAAAGTCACAAGTGCTCACCGACTTCGTCGTAGACTTCAGTGCAAAAATAATGCCTGAAGTCGAGAAGGAAGCCGTCCAAGATTCCCTAAAAATATAAGACCTCTGGGTCTTATACACCGACGAAGCATCCAACGCCTCCAGATCCGGACTGGGACTCATACTTATAGGAGGCCGAGTATGAGGCCGCAATTATAGGATTGAGGTTAGCACTCAAGCATGGGGAAAAGAGGTTGAAACTCCATTGGGATTCACACTCGTAGTCAACCAAGTCACATGGACTTTCCAAATAAAAAAACAAATGTTACAAAAACATCAAACCGAGATCTGTAAGCTGCTGCCCGAGTTCGACAAATGCCAGCTTGACCAGATCCCGCTTGCACAGAATGCTGAAGCAAATGGCCTCGCCAAATTGGTCGCAGCTACCAAAAACGTCACGACCGGGGATAAAAGTGTGGTCTATCTCCTCAACTCATCGCTAGACCAAATCGAGGTAAGATCTGTAAGTTTAAATTAGGATTGGAGCAATCGCATTATCGCCTTTTTGCAGGTCGGTGCACTCCCAAACGACAAATAGGAAGCCAAAATGATTAAGAATGCAAGATGCCAGATACAATCTCCTCCATAGCGACCTGTACAAGAGGACATATGGCAGCCCTTTGGCGAAATGCTTGGGCCCAAATCAAACCTCACGCATCCTAGAAGAAGTCCATGAAGGCCATTGCGACGCTCACTCCGGCATTCGAGCACTCGTTAGGTGTCTTATACGGGCAGGATACTATTTGGCCCACCATGAAAAAGGACACCTTAGAGTTCATGAAGAAATGTGAACAATATCAGAAATACGCCCCAATAATTCACCAAAAAGGCAAACATTTCCATTCACTCACCTCCCAATAGCCGTTCATCAAGTGGGGAATGAACATTGTGGGCCCCCTCCTAGTAGGGCGAGGTAGTATACGATTTCTTTCGATTTTAACTGACTATTTGTCTAAATGGGTAGAATCATGAGCGTTCGCCCACATACACAAACAAAAGGTAATCACCTTTATATGGAGAAACATCATCTGCCGTTTCGGCCTACCCAAGGAGATCAGCTACGATAATGGACCCCAGTTCATGGGAAAGAAAACCGGTGAATTCTTCAAGAAATGTCATATTAAGAGGATACTTTCAACCCCGTATCACCAGGCGGGTAACAGACAGGCAGAATCCTCCAACAAGTCCATATTATACATCATGAAAATAAAACTCGAAGATGCCAAGGGATTGTGGCCAGAGATACTCCCAGAAGTATTATGGGCGTATAGAACTACCCCGAAGACAAGCACATGAGAGACACCCTACTCTTTGGTCTATGGGACCGAGGCAGTTATACCAGTCGAAGTCAGAGAACCCAGCCTAAGGTACTCCCATGAAAGCAGTACTAGTAATGATGAGGGTAGGAGGCAAGAACTCTATGATATCGACGAACGAACGAAGAGATAAAACGTACATAAGGATGGTCGCCCAAAAGCAGCAAGCGGAATATTATTATAACAAGAAAGCAAAGGCCGACCGCTCAAAGTCAGGAAATCCAAAACTCGAGCGAGCAAAGACTTATGGGAAGACAAGCTGGGAACAAACTGGAACGACCCATACAAAATTAAAGCCAAAGCAAACAAGGGTCCGTTCCAATTAGAGACAATGGAAGGAAAGCAATTACCGAACAATTGGAACATCAACCACCTCAAGTACTTCAACTTCTAAAAGGAAGAAGTGTCCCCAAGTCGTACTCTTTTTCCCTCACTTAAGTTTTGTCCCATTTGGGTTTTATCAAGGAGGTTTTTAACAAGGCGACAAAGGGCACACTCTGAGTCAAAGTATGCGACATAGGGACTGTGTTTGTCTTTTATTTCCCGACTCCTACTCTCCAAGTCAAGCAATGAAGGGACTAGATAGACTGGGACTGGGACTGAAACGTCAACCAATGCCCAAAATTTATAATTTTCTCCAATCATATAATCAGAGCAATAACGTCAAAGTAATAAGAAGCTTACATTTATCAGAAATACCTATCGACCCTTGGCCACGATTAACAAAGGGTTATGTTCGACCACGATCGTATAACACCTATCGGCCCTCGGTCGCGATTAACAAAAAGTTATGTTTGACCACGATCGAACAATACCTATCGGCCCTCGACCGCGATTAACAAAAGGTTATGTTCGACCACGATCGAACAACACCTATCAACACTCGGTCGTGACTATCAAAAGTTTAAGTTTGGCCCCGCTCGAACAATACCTATCGGCCCTCGACCGCGATTAACAAAAGGTTATGTTCGACCACGATCGAACAACACCTATCAACACTCGGTCGTGACTATCAAAAGTTTAAGTTTGGCCCCGCTCGAACAATACCTATCGGCCCTCGGCCGTAACTAAATAAGGTTAAGTTCGACCTAACTCGACCAAGTTATCGGCCCTCGGCCACACCCTAACGATAGGTTAAAATTGGTCAAGTTCGAACAACACCTATCGACCCTCGACTGCGATTTAAAGTGGTTTAAATTCGACCAAGTTCGAATAACACCTATCGATCCTCAACCATACCCTAAGGATAGGTTAAAATACGACCAAGTTCGAATAACACTTATCGTCCCTCGCAATTTAAAGAGGTTATAATTCGACCAAGTTCGAATGACACCTATCGGCCCTCGGCCACACCCTAATGATAGGTTAAAATTTGACCAAGTTCGAATAACAACTACCGGCCCTCGCTCGCGATTTAAAGATTTTAAAATTCAACCAAATTCGAATAACACCTATCGGCCCTTGGCCACACCCTAACTATAGGTTAAATTTGACCAAGTTCGAATAACACTTACAGTCCCTCAACCGCAATTTAAAGAGGTTAAAATTTGACCAAGTTCAAAGAACACCTATCGGCCCTCGACCACGTTTTAATAGAAGGTTAAACATAACCAAACAAGAAACAAAGTCCGACCAAGTTCAAACCTAACCGATCGGTCCGTATACAAACTCAACCTATGCTGGCAAAGGGATAATTCGGCTCACAACTATTCAACCCGAAGACTTTGATATTTACAAGAACGACAACAAAAGTATGAAGGAGGAAAACACGCAAAGTACATAAACAAATCGTAGCAAATAAGAAAGGTGCAAATGAAAGCAAAAACCAACTTTGATATTTAAAAATAAAGGTTTCTTACAAAGGCTCTTGAAAATGCCAACAAAAATATACAAAAATAATAGGAAAAAATAAAAAGCTTCTGCTGGCTACCGCCATCACGACCTATGATATCATCACCGGCCTGACCTTTAATGCTCTCTCCCTCCTCGCCCGGAGGGTATATAGAATCATACCAGGCCTTATCTTCAAGGCAATCTATAGCATCCTCACTGTCCTTATCTTCTGTACCAGGACGAGCCGCAGTCGGGTCGTAACCACAAGTAACTCGAGCCTCCCGAGCCTTGACCCGAGCATCATCAAAGTTCGCGGCACGAACAGAACCCGCCACATGCAACTCACGAAGCATATCCAATCGGGCGTTGGTATAAATCCTCTCTTTATACAGCTCACAAGGAATATTAGGGAAGCAAGAAGTTGTAGATGAAGAAAGTTGTGCAAGTAGTTTGTCCTTCTAGGCCTTCAGAGCGGCAACTTGATCATAAATGTCACGACCCAAACCGATGGGCCGCGATGGGCACCCGGTGCCTTACTCAACTGAGTACCAATGTAACATATCTTTCTTATCATACTATCATTGGCAAATGGGCCAAACGAGCCGTCATGGGCTAACCAGAATAAACATAAGGGAATACTCAATATAGGATGACCCAAGCTGATATAAAACTTATACATGTGACATACGGGCCTATAAGGCCAAAATGAACACTCGTACACTGAACATAGGCCGACAAGGCCATACTATATTTCATATACATGACATATGTCTACAAGCCTATAAGAGCAGATCAATACCATAAAGGCCAGGACAGGGCCCCGCCATACTAATTAATACACGTCCTAATCATACTGACCAAATAAGCAACTGCGGAGCGAATGGAGCGCACCAACATCTTCCGCTGAGATGATAGCCAACTTGGAGGACTCTCGACCTATCTATCGGGACCTGCGGGCATAAAATGCAGCATCCCCAGGCAAAAGGGACGTCAGTACAAATAATGTACCGAGTATGTAAGGAATGAAAAACTCGGCATGAGAGAAACATGGAGTAAAAGACTCGGCATGTGAGTCTGAATAGCTCTGCGAATAATTTAATACTTATAATGTCATGCATATGTGTATAAATGCCATACCATACGTTCATAACATCATCAAGCCTTTGAGGGCATCCCATCATATCATCTCGGCCACTGTGGGCAAAATTATCAACGTATACCAGTTGATCAGGTGGTGGTGCGTATATAACGCCGTAACCTTTTGCCATATCCCATATACATATATATACATATATATATGCATATATAACGTCGTCTGGTCATGGGTCAATGTGCATGTATAAATGAATAAAATGCATAAGAAATACGTTAATAAGATTTCTCGGAATATCATAAGATCAATATGCCTTTCGGATAAACTTTATCAAATAC